TGAGTGATTTACAAATTCCCCCCGGACGCTATTTTTAGCACAAAAAGGAGGACATGTCCGGGTAAATCCGGACGAATGGTAACCCTACATTAGTGTTACTCATTTTCCAGGAGCTGTCGGACCCTCACTCTGAGTTATGTGAGGATCTCCTGATAGCGCCCTCTCCTGGCGCCACAGCCCTGCCCACGGCACCAACAGGGCCATGATAAGTAGCAACGAGCGGAGGCTCAGGCATGCGTGTCCGGGCCCTGGGTGGCACCATCTGTGCCATGGCTTGGTGCCCTGATCTGTCCCGCCTGCAGCTATTAGCCAAGCGGCAGGGACTGGGGCGGCACCTGGTGCCCCCCCTGCTCCAGGAGCAGTGTCACTGCTCTTGGGGTTCCCTTCTCCCCAGCCCACTGGCCTGGCTAGTGGGGGTTGGGGTCACGCCCCAGCTGGGGCAGCACCTGCCTGAGATGGCAATTCCAGACGGGCAGGCCCAGCCGCTCACCAGGCACCAGGCCCAGGTGACTCAGGGCTGGGATGGAACGTCCCTGTCCACACACCTGGGAACAGTGAATCACTGCCCCGGCCAGGGGGCAGGGATATGGGCGGGGCCCCTCTGCCCTGGGGGCAGCTCCGGGGGACCTGTAGGGGGACCGGCCTGGATCCTTGTGCCCCTGGAATGGCTCAGGGCAACCGCAGGGGGGAAGGACCAGCCTGGATTCCCATCGCCAGCTGCCCTGGTGTATGAGTCAGCATGTGGGAGGCCTTGGCCTGGGGGCTCCTTGTGTGGGGCAGGAGCTCCCCCACAGCCAGCACTCCTGCCCCACTCACCACAGTGCCCCCTGCTAGGAGAGGCTGGGGCTGCTGGGAATTCAGTGTGTTTCTGAGACAGGTGCGGGGGGGTGAGCAGTCTTTGGGCCGTGCTGCAATGAGAGCCTGTTGGCCAGGGACACTAGCACCCCCAGAGGCGAGGCAGGGAGCCGGCGTCCCAGCCTCCAACTCCTGGCCATGGATCCCAACGCTTGAACCTTGCATTCCAGGGGCCAGAGCAGAGGGGCCAGGGGGCCGGCTGGAGCCCTGGGCTCAGATGTGTTGTTGGCCAAACCCACCCAGAAACCCCAAGGGGGCTGTTGCTCTGGTCTCAGCCCTGTGAGCTGTATCCTGGGGGAGCTGTGGGTCCGGGGCAGCCTCTCTCCTGCCCAGGACAGATAGAGGGGAGCCCACAGAGAGCTGGGCAAAGTGTAGACCAGGGTGGTGCCAGCTATGGGGGCGCAGGGGGGAACATGCCCCCTGCCAGGCCCCGCCCCACTCACCCCCAGCTCCCTCCACCCCGTGTCTTTCAGGCCGAGTGTATGAACTTCATCAAGATCCTGCACCTGTACAACCGCACCCACCTATACGCCTGTGGCACGGGCGCCTTCCACCCCACCTGCGCCTTCGTGGAGGTCGGCCAGCGCATGGAGGTAGGGCCCGGCGGCACCCCTACTAAGGGACAAATGAGAGATGGCCTCCCAGCCCCAACACCCAGGGCATCCCCTGCCAGCCACCTGCCCTGCAGGGGCCCCATCTGGGGCAGATGGGACCGCTCCCCCTCATAGAATCATAGAATACCAGGATTGGAAGGGACCTCAGGAGGTCATCTAGTCCAACCCCCTGCTCGAAGCAGGACCAATCCCCAACTAAATCAACTAAATCGGGGGGCGGAGGATGGGGGGGGGGGGCTGGTTCTGTTAGCAGCCTTGGCCCCAGACGCCCCTGCCATTGCTGACGTGATTCGTTCCCTCTCTCCAGGAGCCCGTCTTTAAGCTGGACCCTGCAGCCATGGAGGACGGCAAAGGGAAGAGCCCGTACGACCCCCGGCACGTGGCTGCCTCAGTGCTCGTGGGTAAGAGCGACAGCCCTGAGCTGGCACGTGGGGCCCTCCGTATCGTCTGCTGGGCCCTGCTGACTGCCACATGCCCCTGCCCCTCCCCCTCCCCACAGCACCCCCTACTGGGAGAGGCGGGGTCTGAAGTAGCTGGGAGCTCCCCCCACAGCCAGTGCTCCTACCCAGCTCCCCACGGCGCCCCCTGAGGGAAAAGGCTGGGCTGGCTGAGACACTGCTGGCTTGTGCCCTCTGGGGGGCGCTGAGGGCAAGATGCCAGTTCTGTGCAGAGCCAGGACACAAGAGCCCCTGTGGGTCACCGGGGACTGTCCCAGCAGAGGAATCTGAGCCTTGAACTCACCACTGAGCTGGGGGAGAGGGGTGAGCAGGGCCCAGGCTGTGGGAGCCGGGGATTCACTTGTTAACCCCCTGATCCCCCGGGGGTGCCCCTGTAAATTCCCCCCCTCCAGTGACGTCTGGTGAGGGGCGTGGAGCGGATCCCTGGGCTGTCTGAGGAGCACGGCGCCCGGCCTTTCCCCTGGTGATGGGATGAGGCAGGGGGAGGTAGGCGGGGAGGACTGGGCAGGCCCGTGTTTAATGCCCCCGACCCCTCTGATCCCTGCGCCAGGGGAGGAGCTGTATTCCGGGGTGGCCACCGACCTGATGGGCCGCGACTTCACCATCTTCCGCAGCCTGGGGCTGCGCCCGTCCATCCGTACCGAGCAGCATGACTCCCGCTGGCTCAACGGTCAGTGCCAGGGCTAGGGGGGTTTCTGGGGAGGGGGTGAGGCCCAGGAACATAATCTTGCTGCTGCCCAGGGGCCGATCCCTCGGCTCGAGGATGCTGGGCCGCGTCCTGAGTGTGGTGAGTTTGGCAGCCTCAGCCAAGCTCCTAGTGAATTTCAGTCCCTGTCACAGACTCTTCCGGGCCCAGCTCCGGCCCAGCCCCCTGCGCGGTAGGCAGGGGAGGCTCCCAGATCTGAGCATGCCAGTCGCTGGGCACAGGTGGGAACAGTGACGTCACAGGGAAGGCAGAGCTGGGCCCTGAGTGTTTATCTCTCGGGGGAGATTTCAGAACTCGGGAGCAGGCGTGTGTTCTGTGCTCCTTCCCATTATTGGGGGCCCTGTGCCCCTGCTTGTCCCCTCTTGTGCATGCCCCTGATTGGGGGTCATTTCCCAAAGGCTGAGGGGCACTGGCAGGGCTGTGGGGGGGAATCCCAGGGCTGGAATAGCTGGGGCTGCGGGTCGGGAGTGAGGGGCACTGGCAGAGCTGCGGGGAGCCCAGGGCTGGAATAGCAGGGGCTGCAGGTGGGAGTGAGGGACACCAGCAGGGCTGATGAAGAAGCTTTCCTGGCCCTAATCCTGTGGGCATCTGTTCTCCGTTCACCCCCTTTGGCATTTCACTGACTCGCCCTCTGAATCCCACCATCTGTCATGCTGGGATAATGAACCCGTCGTCCTGCAAGAGCTTCTGGCCTCATTCACCCTTGGGGGCCTTATTCCCACCCTTCCCCTGGCAATGCCTGGCCCTGGGATTCACTCTCGGCTCTCTCCCAGCGTCCCCATCCCTGCAGACACCGGCTGGGGGGCTGCCAGGCTGGGGCTGCCTGTGAACCCTGTCCATGCTAAGCCCCAGCCCTATTCTGCCCGGAAGGTGCCATCGCCTGGAAATGGGCAGCACCAAGAATAGCAGCGCCCCTGGGAGTGGCTCGAGATCACCCTGAGACAGTGCAGTGACCTGGCACCCCCAGGCTCTGCCTCCTGGGCACCAAAGCTGGGCTGGACTGGGTGCAGGAATTGCCGGGCAGAGCTGTGGGGGGGAGCCCAGGGCTGGGCTAGCAGGGGCTGCGGGTCGGGAGCGAGGGGCACCAGCACAGCTGGCTGGGGGAGCCCAGGGCTGGGCTAGCAGGGGGTATAGCTGGGGGGGGGGGCTGGGATAGCAGGAGGTTGGGGGGCTGTGGGTCGGGACTGAGGAGCATCAACCGTCTGCCCCGTACCCAGTCTCCCTTCTCTCTGGCCCTGGACCCGCTCTCATGGCTGGGCTGACTCTCCCTGTGGGAGCTGGTGGATCTAGGCTGCCACCTAGTGGCGTGTGACTGCAGGGCCCCCTTTGAGCAGGGGGCAGTTGTGGGGTGATGGGGCGGGAGGTGGTCTGGCTGCATGGGCATGGGGATCCCCGCAGCTGCACGTTCCAGGGGCAGGGGGATGAGCACGGCCAGGTGTGCCCAATCCCAGCCTGCTCTTGCTGGCCAGGGCAGGTCCCTGATGCGGCACGGACGAGGGGGGTGCTGGGGGAGCACGGAGCTGCCTGTGGCAGGGCAGGTACCACGGGGGCAGTGGGTGGGTGCCCTCCTGCCTTCCCCGAACCTCCCCAGACAGGCAGGGGACCTGGGTTGCAGCTCCGACCCCAGGCCCCATTCACTGCCGAGCCGGTTCCAGGCAGCAAAGCGCCCCTCTGGCACTGGCTGCGGGTCCTCCCTGACGGTCGGGGCAGGGCCCAGCTGATCTCCTGGCAGTGCAGAGCCCATGTGACCCCTGGCCTGGCTCAGGCTGTTAGCTTCACCTCTGGGGAAGGGAGGGCTGGGGGCTAGAGCAGTGGTTGTCAGGACTTCTGGGTCCTGTTCCCTGCTCTGGGAGGGGAGCGTATGTTAGAGCAGTGGGGTTGGGGTTTCAGGACTCCTGGGTCCTATTCCCTGCTGTGCCACTGATTCACTGGGTAACATCCCTTCTTTGTACCTCGGTTTCCCCCTGTGTCAGCCGCGGGTAGGGCACTGCCCCTGCATGGGTTAGCACGCAGGTCAGATAGCAAAGCGCTGGCAGCCCTGACATGGGCCAAGTGCAGCTGTTACTCGCTCTACTTTCTGCCTGAGCGCCTGTGCCGGATGGCATGGGTGCCCAGTGCTCACCTCATGCCTCCCCCTGCCTGACCCTCCCTTCCTCCCCATGTTCTGCCCGGCCCAGAGCCCAAGTTCGTGGACGTGTTCTGGATCCCGGAGAGCGAGAACCCGGACGACGACAAGATCTACTTCTTCTTCCGCGAGACGGCGGTGGAGGGGCAGCAGGGGCTGGGCAAGGCCAGCTTTGCCCGCATCGGCCAGATCTGCAGGGTGAGCGCTCTCGTGCCCACCCGGCCCAGCTGGGACAATGGGGCTGGTCCCTTTCACTGCACCCCCGGGGGGCCGGGAGGGATGGGTGTGACCCCCATCTGTGCTCCGCCTGCACAGCAGTGACACTGGGATTGGAGTCGAGCCCTCCTGGCATGTGGGCAGCGGCTCTGCCAGCCAGGCCTGTGGGATCCTTCTCCAGGAGCCCCACACTGGGGACAGCTCAGTCGGGCTCTCCCATGCCATTGCAGCAGGTCCAGCCAGGAGACGGGGAGTCCATCGTCTGTCGTGCCCTGGGACCTGGCAGCGCTGGCGTCCTGGTGGGTGGAGAGGCTCCCTGGGGGCGGGCATCCTGCTGAGCCCCCTGCCCGGCCCCCGCTCAGCCTGTCTGCCCCTCCCCACAGAACGACCTGGGTGGGCAGCGGAGCCTGGTGAACAAGTGGACAACGTTCCTGAAGGCCAGGCTAGTGTGTTCGGTGCCAGGCAGCGACGGGGGCGACACCTTCTTCGATGAGCTCCGTGAGTGGCGTGGGGCGGGCGCCAGCTGCAGGGTCACTGCCTGGGGTGGGGGGTGCTCTGTGACAGGGCATGTGGGGAGACTGCGTGCTGGGGAGGAGGGCTGGTCACGTCAGGTGTGGGGAGGTATTGGCGGGAGCAGCAGAGGCGGGGGGAATGTGTGCCTGAGGGGAGGGCTGATCAATGACACGCCCATCCCTCTCTGCCACTCACAGGTGACGTCTTCCTGCTGAGGACGAGGGACACACGGAACCCCCTGCTCTACGCCGTCTTCTCCACCTCCAGGTATGGCGAGGCCCCCCCCCCCCCCCCCCCCCCCCCTCCCCCTGGCCCCCCCGCCCCTTTCCCCCCCCCCCCCCCCAGCCAGCTCCACGCTGCCCCTCCACAACCCCTTCACCAGAGCACCCACAGGTTCTGCAGCTGGGCCTGGTGTAGGGGGGTGCTTAGGGCCAGGGACCCATAGTCCTTCCCCTCCTGCCCCATGCCCACTCTGACCCCTTCTCCCTTATCCCCTTGCCCTTCCCCCACTCAATGCCCCCTTTGCTTCCAGTGCCCCGTGCCCCCCTCACGCCCTTGCCTGTTGCTTTCCCTGCAGCTCGGTGTTTAGGGGCTCCGCCGTCTGCCTGTACAACATGCATGACATCCGCCGAGCCTTCCTGGGGCCCTTCGCTCACAAGGAGGGGCCCAACTACCAGTGGGTGTCGTACCAGGGCCGTGTGCCCTACCCTCGCCCGGGCATGGTACGTGATGTGGTCCCCAGCTGGCCGGGAGGGATGCAGGGCAGGGGGCTCCCCCTGCAGCCAGTGGGGATCAGTTGCCTCCCCCAGCGTCGTCCCTCAGCAGGGCTATGCAGCTGCCCGAGCCCCTCGATACCTGCAGCCCTGCATCCTGCCCCCATCCTGGACCCCTTTTGCTCGGGGCCTGGTACCTCGGTGCCCACACACAGCTTTGCCAGCCTGACCTGGGGGGAGAGTCCACCCTGCCCCCGCCAAGAGGCCTGTGGGGCAGGGGGTGGCCAGCTGTAAGAGGGGTCTGGGCAGCAGGGAAGGCTCAGCTGCTGTCAGTGCTCTGCAGGAAGCAGCAGAGCCAGGGCTGTGTGCCAGGTCTCAGCACCAGTGGATTTGGTAGGGAGCTCGATGCCCAGCGCAGAGCGGGTCCATTAGCCAAAACAAGCTGCCATCCTCACCCAAAGGGAAATGACTGAGCTGGCTCTGGCCAAGGGGCCCGGAAAGGATGAACCACAGGGGCTGCGGGTTGGGATTGACAGGCACCGGCAGAGCTGTGTGCAGGAGGAACCCAGGGCTGGGATAGCAGGGAGCTGTGGGTCAGGAGTGAGGGGCACCGGCAGAGCTGTGGGGGGAACCTGGGGCTCGGAAGTGACGAGCAGCAGCATCTCATGTGCCCTGGCCAGTTCCCCAGTTTTCCCCAGCTGACCTCGCCCCTCTCTGCCCCCTCAGTGCCCCAGCAAAACCTTTGGCACCTTCAGCTCCACCAAGGATTTCCCCGACGACGTGATCCAGTTCGCCCGCAACCACCCACTCATGGCCAACCTCGTGTTGCCACACAACCAGCGGCCCGTTTTCCTGAAGACCAGCGGGGACTACACCTTCACCCGCATCGCCGTGGACCGGGTGACGGCCGCCGACGGGCACTACGACGTCCTCTTCATTGGCACAGGTGCACCCGCTGCCCCTCCCAGACCCAGGTCGCTCCTGCCAGCCCCAGATTTCCCTGGAGCCGTCGCGGGCAGAGCCCGGGACCTCTAATGTTCCACCCACGCCACACGTGCCCAGTGAGCACCTGGGCTGCCCCAGCTGCCCTGAGGCCCTCCTGCAGCGCAGGGAGCTGGGCGTGTGGCTAAGTGCAAGGACAAATAGGGGAGCGACAGTGGCTCAGTGACTGGGGTTCTGTTCCCTGCCCTGGCACTGGCCTGCTGGATGAGTCCCTCTCCCGCTCCGTGCCTCAGTTTCCCCTCAGTAAAATGGGGATAACGATACTGCCCCGGCCTGAGAGCTGTGGGGGCTGAGAGTAAGGGGGTTATGCTGGTCTTGCTCACACTAAGCCATGACTGTGACCCCTTGGCTTCCCTGGGACTGTCTTTGCCAGTCAGGGCCCCTTCTCTCGATGCCCACGTACAGATCTGGGAGGTTGACCCTGGGCAGTGGGGTCCTGGGCCTGCGTCTCTTCCGAGCCGGGTGTGAGTGTGTGGGAGCTGCCCAGGGATGGGACGTCTCAGCTGTGGATGTTGTCATGCCCTGTCACCCCCTCCTTCCCTTCCGGCAGACGTTGGCACGGTGCTGAAGGTGGTCTCGGTGCCCAAGGAGAGCTGGCAGAACATGGAGGAGCTGCTGCTGGAGGAGCTGCAGGTGTTTAAGGTAGGACAGTGGGCAGGGCAGGGAGGTGCCAGGGGCCTGATTCCCCCCCCCCCCACCCACCCGTCTTGTTGCCGGGGGGCGGAGTCGTGCCCCCCCCCCCCCCTTCTACCCCTCTTCGTTCTTGGGAGCTGGCGAAAAGCAACCTGAGCCATGGGCTGGAACTACTTTGCCTCAGCGTATCCCTTTCCCCTTCCGGGTGCTAAAGGCCGGTGCTACATCCTAATGAGATGGGGGCTGACGGAGCTGTGGCCATGTGGCGACCAGCCCCCCCGGCAAGGTGTGTGACTGGGTGCCTGCCACATGGGCCCGTCCCCCTCTGTCCACGTTGGGTGGGGCCGGCGGTGCCGTGGGCAGGCAGCCCTGCCACCCACGTTAACCCAGCGTCGCCAGCCTGACCCAACGGTTGGAGCCAGGACTCCTGGGTTCTATCCATGGTCCGCCACTCTGTGCTCTCAGGTGCGTCACTTGGGTTCTTGGCGCCTTGCCCGTGGAGCAGGGCAATGGGGCTGACACCACCCCCCAGAGAAGTGCGGTGAGACCCCCCCCCCCAGGCATGGCCTGGACAGACGGGCAAAGCACCAACGACTGGGCTGTGCTAGGAGCCTGGTGTCTGCCTGGACTCCCCCCTTAATGTGCCTTGTGCTCTGTTTGTCTCGGCAGGATTCGTCCCCCATCACCAGCATGCAGATCTCGTCCAAGCGGGTGAGGAGTCCGGCGGGCACAGGCAGCATCTGAGAGGGTTGGAGGGGAAGAGATGGGAGTGGGGAAACAGCTGTGGGATGTGCTGGCTCTGGTGCTGTGCTGGGGTGCCAGCCATGGGTCTGTGCTGGCATGCCAGTTGTACCAGGGTGCCAGCTGTGGCTCGGTGCCAGCCGTGGCGCTGTGTCAGGGTGCCAGCTGTGGCACTGTGCCAGCTGAGCTGGGGTGCTAGTCGTAGCTGGATCCAGGGCAGGCACTGTACCATCTGTGTCTGTGCAGCCCCTCACCCCCAGTGCCCTGGAGCCAGCCATTGTAATAACAAAGGTAGGGCTTGCTGGGGATTAGCTCCGTATTCTGGCACAGCGTTGTCCTTGCGCCACCGGAGACCGAGGAAAAGTAGTCCTGGGTACAGGGGCTGGAGGAGGTGTAGGGAGACCGACCCATGTGTCAGCCCATTACTTGGAGAGCTCAGGGCTGCCCTGGTGACACATCCAGGGCAGCCAGTGCAGGTGGTCGCCAGGCTGGGCAGCCATCTGCCCCTCCCTCCAGCTGGCGTGCTGTGCCGGGGCCCTCGCTGCCGTCCCCATGGCTCTCCCTTGGCCTCATCCCCTGCAGGAGAGCTAGGCTGGCCCTGACCCGCCTTGACCCAAATGCCCGCCAGAGGCCCTGGCGTGGGTGCCCGGTGCGTGAGGCTGGGCACTGTGGCCACCCCATCCCAGGGGAAGATTCTCCCCTCCTTTCCCCATGCTGGCACCTCCTGAGACACAGGCCCCATGTGGGCGGTGACCCCCTGGCCACATGCTGCGTGGGCACCTTCCCGGGGATGCGGTGCCGTGGCATGCACCCAGGTGCTGGATCCGCCCCCGACCGTCTGGCCTTGCCTTTCCAACAGCAACAACTCTACGTGGGCTCCCCGACGTCCCTCTCCCAGCTGCCCCTGCACCGCTGTGGGATCTACGGCAAGGGCTGTGCTGAGTGCTGCCTGGCCAGAGACCCCTACTGCGCCTGGAACGGCACCAGCTGCACCCGCTACATGCCCAACACCAAGAGGTACGGCCCCTTCCGCTCCAGCCACATGGGGCCCAGGGGCTCCTCGTTCAGATCATTTCCTCACTGCTCCTGGAAGCGCCGAGCCATGGGGAGGATGCCATGGGACCGGAGAGGACGCCAGGAGACCGGGGAGAGGCACGCGGGGGGTGCCGGCTGCATCAGAGGCGCCCCCCACACTGCAGGGCTTGGGGTGACGTCTGGCGTAGGGTTGGCACTGGGGTGATCTTGTGCCAGCCTTATCCTGGGTCTAGCTGAAGCGGTAAGATCCAGCCCGGGGCAGGAGTCCTCTGTTCAGTGCCACAGGCTCCCAGGGTGACTTTGGGCTCAGTTTCTCCATCTGTGCAATGGGGAGAAGAGCCTTGCCCTGCCACCCAGAGGCGTGTGAGGGGAGCGACATTAAAGAGCGTGAGGCACCCAGATGCTAGGGTGATGGGGGGCCTGGTAGGAACCTTGGCGCTGCCAGCCGTCAGCACAGCAACAGCCTGTTCAGGACAACGACAGCCCCTCGCTAGGGACTGATGGGAGAGACTCCTTGGCCCTGTGTCGCAGAACTGTGGGGCTCCGCACCCAGGGTCCAGCAGGGTGCCTGGCTTAGGGTGCTCCTGGTGGGTGCTGGGGGAAGGGGGCTCGCTCCCTAGGCGCTAGGAGAGGCTGCCAGAGCCCCTGTGCTCCTCAGAAAATGTCTGTGCGTCTATCCATCCCCCGCTGTGCCCCCACCCTGACCCCTCTCCCCGCTCCCCCCTACAGGCGTTTTCGACGACAGGACGTCCGGAACGGCGACCCCAACACACTGTGCTCTGGAGGTCAGTGTGCCCTCTCCCTGCCCCTGGGGTACCAGCTCAGCCCTTAGCCCTCTGCGTGCCCATCCTCCCAGAAAGAGAAGTGCCCGGGCAGTGCCACTGCTGCCTGCTCGTATGCCGCAGGATGTGGGGCGGGGCGCTCCCCCTGCTCACACGTCTGGCATGAAGAGACATGGGCGCAGGTCATGGCCGTGCCTCTGCCCGCTCAGCACAGACGCCTGGGGGGGCGATAGCTTATGCCTGCTGCGTGGCCCATGGCTCTGGCGCATGCCAGCCACACTCTTCCTGTCCCAGCCACCCTGGTGTATTCGCTTGTGCCTGCTCCGTGCCACGTGACCCAAAAGGCTCGGGCATGTTCGCTCGTTCCGGTCCCATGGCCCGGCTGCCCCGGTGTGTTTCCCATGCTCATGCTCTCTGTGGCCCGTGCCCGGCAGATCCCCACCAGAGCAGCGTGCCGGAGAAGAAGCTGTACGGGGTGGAGGGCAGCAGTGCCTTCCTGGAGTGCGTGCCCAAGTCCCTGCAGGCCCGGGTGCTGTGGACCTACCAGAAAGCCAGTGACACCCCGAGGAAGGAGGTACCGGGGCCCCTATCCCCTGGAGCTGGGCTGCTCGGCCCGACCCACGTGCCACATTGATACGGGGGCATTGGGCTGGCTGTGCCCAGGCTGGTCAGAGCCAAGAGACACAGGCTGGCACCTATCATACCCCAGGCTCCTGGATCCCTGTGCCCTCCCGGCTGGGCTCCAGCGCCCCCCTCCCATCCTCTGCCCCTTCCCACCCCACTCACTGCTGTGTATGCATGACACATGGCCACCCCCAGCCGGACCCTTCCCAGCTGCATAGACACTTCGGCCCCACCACCTCACTCTCCCCTCCTGATCCCTCCCTGGCGCGAGGACACCCAATCCAGCCCGGCCCTGCCCTGCCCCGCCCCACTCCAGCTGTCCTGGCCCATCCTTCCCCTGTGCCAGCTCAGTCAGCTCCAGCTCTGAACCGAGCTCTCGGCACCTATCAGGCATCTCTTTGCCCTGATGCTCCTTCGGCCGATCCCCACCCAGCAGCACTGGCGCAGCCCATGGCCCCCGAGCTACCCAGCCCCGCCTGGGAGGCCAGGGTGGTGCGCTGAGGCACTGAACTTTGGCCCTGACGCTGGCCCTGCTCCCCCAGCTTCAGCTCTGCCTTGTCTCCCCGGGCCTGCAGGTGCAGCTGGACGAGCGGGTGCTGCTGACGGAGCGGGGCATCCTCCTCCTCCGTAGCGTGGCGCGCAAGGATGCCGGGCTTTACCACTGCCAGGCCACGGAGCACGGCTTCACCCAGACCCTCCTGCGCCTCTCGCTGGAGGTGATCGGCGCCCGGGAGGAGGCACCCGCCGAGCCAGCCAGCAGCAAGCTGTGGTACCAGGACTTCCTGCAGCTGGTGGACCACCCCAACCTCAGCGCCATGGATCAGGTCTGCCAGCAGTTGTGGGGCCGCACAAGCCACCAGCCCAAGAAGAAGCCGCCCCGGCCTCCCCCGCTGAGCATCCAGGCCAAGCCCCACAAGTGGAAGCATGTGGAGGAGACGCGGAAAGCCCGCAAACGGCGCACACACGAGCTGCCCCGCGCTGAGAGAGGACCCCGCAGCGCTGCCGCCTGGTGACCCGCCGGACTCCTGCTAGGAGGCGGAGGGAGGGGAGGGTGGGGAGAGGGGAGACCGGCAAGCCGAGCCGGCAGTGAGTTCCCTCCGCGCGTAGCTAGGCGAGGGTGGCCGCGCCCTTGAGACACTCTTCTCCCCAGCCAGGTGCGGGGGGAGCCCCCGGGGCCTGCCCCACAACCAGAGATGGGGGCCCAGGCCTCAGACCAAAGGCTTTGGGAGGCCAGCGGGAGAGGAGCAGGGGTCATGCGCCATCCAGACACCGAAGAGGCCTCCTGGATCTGGCCGTGCCCCAGCCTGGATTGTCCCCCGTGGAGCAGATCAATCCAGCAGGGACTGTTTTTGTTCGATTGGCCCTCGGCCCCTGCCCGACATCCTTTAACCCAGCCCTCTCCAGAGTCAGGAACCTCCCGGAGACAGTTCCAGGCAAATCCCTGTTTGGCATGCGCTGGGGGGCAGGGAAGCTGGTACCTGGGTTCCCCCTGCTCCCCTGGGGACACGACCACTGATGTATTTATTAACGGACTGTTACTGATGAATGTAAACCCGCCTCAGGCTGCACCCGGACTGGGGGGTGCTGGTCTGGTCATAGGTACGTGGGCACATTCCTGGCTGGTGGCTTCTGGGACGGGTGTGTGTGGTCCCATGGTGCAATGGGGGTGGGGGGGCGCAGCAGGCAGGAGATCAGAGCCCAAGCCTCTCCCCTCACTTGGGACGCTCCCTGATTGGAATTAGGTGGGCATTATTCCCACAGGGTGCCCACCTAATGAGGCAGCACAGGAGAGATCACCGTGTGGCTGGGACGGTTCCAGCTTCCTGCAGGGTGGGGGGAAGGAGGAGCGAGTGATGGGGAGTGGGAGAGTCACTGTGTGACCCCAATGCCCCGAGTCTTCGGCCCTATCCCAAACCCAGGGCAAACTGATCCGTGGCCCCTGGGGAAGCATGGGGCGTGCTGGGCATTCGAGGCCAGGAGCCAGCTGGCCTTGAGGCCTGAGCCACAGAGTGGTTCCCCACGACCACCATCCCAAACCTGGCTCTGTGGGATGGGAATAACCACAGGCCTTGTGGAAGTGGGATCTGGGTCCAGACCAGGCACTTTCAGCCCGGCTCTGGCAGTGCCCGGCGGCCATCTCTGGCTGCTGGCCATTTGGGTGAGCCCATCGCAACTGGCCTCTCTTGTTGTGTGTCACCACCGGAAGCCTGAGGCCTGTCTGGGGATGGAGAGCGGCTGTCACCCGAGAGGGGGGTCAGGGGAGGTGGCTGCCCTGGGGTGGGTGGAGGCAGCTTTCCCAGTTGCTCCTGGCCAGGGACAAGGCATTTCAGCTCCAGGCTGCGTCCGTGCAGCGCCTTTCACCAGCTGGGTAGCACAGCGTGCTTCAGGTGACCGGGAGTCCGCCACTGCCCTGCTGTGGGACCTTGGCCAAGTCCCTTCACCTCTGTGGCCCCTCCTTCCCCCAGCCACGAGGCCCAGGGAACAGCCAGCGCATGGAGAGCAGTCACCGAAATGCTCCAGGTACGAGCTGCGTGTTATAACGTTAAGTCTGAGCCCTGACTGGCAGTGCCCACACAGAATGGAGTGCATGGCTCAGCAGGCACAGCGGCAGGTCATCAAAATGGGGCCTCTCCCCCGAGGATGAGATTTCGGCCCAGATCTACAGAGGTATTTAGGCTCCTCGCTCCTGTTGTAGTCAGTGAAAGTTAGGCTCCTAAAGACCTTGGAGGATCTGGCCCTTGGGTGGGTATGTCGGTCACATAGCCCTTTCGAAACCTACCAGCCTGGGTCTCCTGCCTTTCCTCTCCCCTTTGAGTGTGACGCCACTGACCCCACTGTGGAGACGCGGGTGAGCGAAGAGGAAAGCACCGCTTAGGTCTTCAGGAGCCAGCCCGCGTGAATGCGATCACCGCTGCGCTGACAGTGAGGCAGGAAAATATGGGGTGGAAAAAGAAGGAAGGCGGCGGTCGCAGGCCGGGCAGGCCAGTGCAGCCCTGGTGTGGGAGAAGGGAGCATGGCACAGAACTGGACCAGCCCGGCGGGACTGTATTATATTAACACAATAAAAGCAGTTGATGAACCCTTGTGCTCCTGGTTTTCTGAAATGGGCTGAACCTGCTTGGGCAGCACTTTGCCCCTGCTACGGGTGGCTGAGCCACAGAGCCAGGCTGAGGAGCCTGGGCTACCAGAGCTGCACTTAGCCAGGATCAAACCTGGGGCCTCGGGAGCTAAGAAGCAGGTGCCTTTGATGGAAGTTCCTGGGCTCAAGCAGGCTCAGCTGCTCTCTGGGGGCTGGACCAGCAGGCAGCAGGTGTATAGTCATGTATGTGCAGCAGACAGCGCTATTATAGTGTGCAGAATTGGCTCAAATGGCATCCGTGGGCAGGGCTGAGTCCCAGGCCCCGGGAGGTGGGGGGGGGGAGCTGGGCAGGGGGCAGGAAGCGAAGGGACACCCCAGGAGTGATGGCTGGCTGGATCCTGAAGCCTGCTCGCTGCCCAGGCTCGGTGGGCATGATGCCCGCGTGTGACTGGTCCCAGTGGCTCTAGCAGGCCCCGCTCTGGCTGGGGATCCTCTCTAGCTGTCTCCCCACAGGACAGGGTCATCTGAGTATGCGGCGTGACGGGTCCCTCTCCAGGGCTGGGATCGCACCGGGGAAAGGAGGAGGTCGACCGTCACCCAGCTCCTCTGCCCATCAGCCTGGAGGGCTTTGGGGAGGCTGGAGGCACCCCTCACATTTGCCCCATCTCACCCCCCACATCCCTGTGGGACCTCCCATGGTACCCCTCACAGCTGCCCCATCTCTGGCCATTCCCCTCACAGCTGCTCTCTCTTGCTGTGCCCCCACCTTCCCCCTACAGCCCCATCTCCTCCCCACCCATCCCTCCAGTCCAGTGCAGGTCCCCTTGCACACCCTGTCCATTAGCCCCTCGCCCCGGCCTTTGCTGCCTGACCCTGCTCTGGCCTGGGCAGGGTGCCTGCGTGGTGACCTTTGGGCGGAGGGTGGGGTGGTGCCACCCAGTGGGTGGGTGGGTGACTCACAGGGCAGGGCAAAGCCCCGTCACAGCAGCAAGGCACAGCCCAGCCCAGGGCTGCACCTTGGGCTCTGTTCAGTTCTCCATTCGCCCAGGCAGGGCTGGGGCAGCTGCGCAGCCTCAGCGCCCTCCCGGCAGGATTGCAGGCGCATACACCCCGGCTCACCTAGAGCATTGAGAGCTCTCCCCTTACCCCCTACCCCCCCACCAGCTATCTGGGCCCTGCGATGCTACGTGTCTGACTGCTGCCCCTTGCTCCCTGGCTGTGAGACCTGGCAGTGCCAAGGTCACCAGCTCCCAGCCACTAGAGGAGGGAGGAGCCGCCTGCAGCACTCGCTGGCCAGTGCTGAGCTCTGGGGCTATGGCTGGGGGGCAGCCCAGGCCCCCTGCCCTTCCCTGGTGTCAGTGGGGGAGGGGGTCTGTGTCCCAGCAAGCAGCCAGAACTGTTGCACGCATGGGAGGGAACTGGGGGCAGGAGACACAAGGGTTGAGTCTCCTTTGCACTATGCCCCTTTTAGGCCCGTCTGGCAGCACTAGGGGCCATTATTGCTCACCTCCCACCGGGGCTCCCTCAGCTACTGGCACCTCCTAGCCCTGGGGCAGGCAGCTCTTACTGGCAGGGGGACAGGTCCCCAAATGGCCACCTCCCCTCAGTCCTGCGTGCCGGGACTCAGAGGATGGGACTGGGGCCAGAGCGGGAGTCTGAGCAGGGGGTAGGAACCCAAGGGCTGGGCCTGGGGTAAAGGGAGGCCCAAGGGCCCATTGCAGGGGCACCACCTGGGAGCAGCAACCGGCCTGGGCATGTGCTGCCTGGCGCCACCCAAGGCCTGACTGACTGTGATGGCTTCCCGTGCACTGATCTCCGCGAGTCTCCGCACCGGGCCAGGGGTGATGCCAGTGCAGGTACATCAGCCCAGAGCAGCGCCCTGCACTGTGGGGGGAGATTGTGGGAGCTCCATCACTGGCCAGTCTTACACCCAAATTGTCTGGTTTTCCACAAGCTCTGCCCTGGACGTTAGGCCAGGGCTCAAACTAGCTGATAGCAATGGCTTCTTCTGGCCTTGCAGTCTTTGATTTGCCCCTCTAGGGCCCATGGGACATTGCAGGGGTGGGGAATCACCGAGGGGCAGGTTTGCCCCAATCTGCCCCCTCCTGTCTCTTTGGCCCTTTGGTAAAGGCAGCCCCCTCCCCCAACTCTACATGTATATGAAATCCCCCCAGTTTCGCTTGGGCTCTGTGTCGCCCGCTCTCCGGTGGGCAGTGCTGCTGGGAGCTTTCTGCTGCTCCTTGCAGCTGGTGACATAATCTGCACTGCTCAGTTTCCACTTCCAGCCAAAGCAGGCCAGGCTGCTTCCTTGTCACCTGCTGGCGCTGGCTGCGCCACCCCACCGCCCCGGGCCAGGCAGGCATGGAAACTTCCCACACAGGGAAGAGATGGAAACCGAATCCGATGCCCCTGCCCCAGTGCCAAGGAGTGATCCCCGGCTTCCAGCAGCAGCCCACACTGGCCCCTCCCTTGTCACCCAGCTGGGCCTTTGCAGTTTCGTTTCTCTAGTGAATGGAAAATGAAACTTAGCAGATCAAAACCGGAGAAACCCTTAGCTCTGCTGCTGCCAGTTAAGGTGGCCTTAGGGAGCAGCTCCAAAGTGCTCACCCGGGTGCTCCTCTGCCCTGGCTCCCACACTGGGGTGTGTTACAGGTGCCCACCTCCCCCAAATCCTGCTGTTCTTCCTTCAGCCAGGCTTGAAAATGCCCCTCAGCCAGGGGGCGGGTAGTCGCTGTCAGGGTCAAGGGGGAACCTCACCACCACTTAACCAGTCCTTTCATAAAGGAAGGGGCCGGCCTGGCAGGCTTGCTGCTGGAGACGAAGCACAGCAGTGGGGAGGCTGCCGTGAGGCTGCAGACAGACGGCTCCAGGACTCCCACTGCCGCTCAGGGGTGTCCAGACAGCAGGCGGCAGAGGGACATTAACAAGACTCTGGGCTGGGAGTTAACGTCCCCCCACGGCCCTTCATTTGGGTCTCCTTGATTCCTAAATTCCAGGGCAGAATGGACTCTTCCCTCCTGTGCAGCACAGGCCAGTGACCCTGCCCCAAAATAACCCCGGGCGCAGCCCCTCCAGCAAAGCATCGGGTCTTGCTTTAAAAATGGCCAGGGATGGAGAAGCCACCAGCCCCCTTGGGAAGTTGTTCCAATGGTTAATTACCCTCCCTGTTAATTACTCTCCCTGGGGTAGTTACCAGAGAGTCCCTATGTCCCAGCCTGGGAGCATGAAACTGACACGAGTGAGGTCCGGTTTCAGAGTAGCAGCCGTGTTAGTCTGTATCCGCAAAAAGAACAGGAGTACTTGTGGCACCTTAGAGACTAACAAATTTATTAGAGCATAAGCTTTCATGGGCTACAGTGTCGCTCTCAGGCGGGGTGGGGGAGATAGACACTGAGGTTAGGGGCTGGCATGAAGGACAGCGCCCCCAAGCATGGCCTGAGGGCAGCCCCCTCCTAGGAATCCCTGCAGCTGGGAATGGGGGAAGTGCATTGGGCTGCCCCTGGAATTGGGGATGAGGACCAGCCCCCAGGCTTCTCTCCTAGCCCATGCCCAGCAGGTGTCTGGTGGACAGTTCCAGTCCTGTAGCCTAGGCCACCTTAACAAGCTCAGTCTGACGCCATCCACAGGGGAGGAGATCAGCAGGGCTGGGCTGTGCCCGGGTTGCTTAAAAGCAGCAGCAGCAGAGGAAGGCAGGGACAGGGAGCAAAGCAGCAGAGATGGAGCTGTACCAGGTGCCCGCGGGCTCACTGGATGCCTGGATCGCGGAGCATCTCCAGCCCAGCGAGGAATTCCAGCTGCAGGTGAAAGACACTGTCCGGAGGATCTGTGATTTCCTGAAGGAGACGTGCTTTGACGACATCAAGGTGTTCAAGACGGTGAAGGTGAGTCTGTTCTGGACCAGCTGTCGGTGTGAAAGAGCTTGTCAGGGCTCCTTTGGTGCAGGCGAAAGCCTGGGTGCCTACGCTGTGATCAGGGGAAGCCGAAACCCCCAGCTGGACAGGCCAAGGGATGCTGAACGGGGCTGCCACTTACAGCTGGCTACAGGGGGTCATTATCCCAAATTCCCCCTGGCTTCCTCTTTGCCAGTGAGGTCAGGTAGGAACGTAGGAGCTGCATTGTCAGGTCAGAGCAGTTTTAGCCCAGTAACCTATCTCCGACAGTGACCAACACCAGCTGCTTCAGAGGAAGGCACAGATCCCATCTCATGGACAATTATAAAATTATTTGCCTATAGGGGAAGTTTCTTCCTGACCACAGGCTGTTAGTGGTTGGTTTATGCTCTGAAGCATGAGGGTTTGTCTCCCTTGTACATTTCCCTTTCTGCTGAAAACAAGTAGGGATGTTCTAGTTATCCTTTGAATGTCTAATCCTGTGGAGAGTGGCCTCATTGAGTGAGTTCCACAGGTTAACTATATGCTGTCACAAAAAATACCTTTGAGCTGTTTTAAATGTGTTGCCTTTTAATCTAGCATTATTAGACATCTGATATATCTTCTCTGAATCAATGGCTCCCAACCTTTCCCCTGTTGGGTCACTACCTTGTAATCAACACTCCCTTTACCAATAACAGGACAGGAAGTTTGCAAAACCTCTCCCCAGTCCAATTTATTACATCCAGAAAAATTATACTAAAAGACAGTTATTGAGATTGCAACTCAAACATTAGGAAATGCCAGAGGTAAGGTGCCATTTTTACCTCAGTTCGGCCCCATTGTGCATATGTATTACAATACAGGGTTTAATTACATGATCACATCTTATTTTTTCCATGGGACCCTGCCTCATTCAGAGCACAGGGTGCTCTACGGGTGAATCAGGGCCAGGTAGTGAAGGAGACTGTTGTCTGTAGGATCCCTACAGACTTTGCAGCAGATGGAAGATGTGCAATGAATGGGGCAGGGGGTTCCAGGAAGGTCTCCTGGGTAAGACAGTTGAATGCTGCCCTGGAGAACTGGATTCTCTCCCTGCCTCTGCTACTGAGTTCCTGTGTGATGCTGGGCAAGTCACTTACCCCAAACTGTGCCCAAAGTGTGCATTCTTCATTTTTGGGGTGCTCAGTTGGAGCCCCCAGGGTCTGATTTGCAGAACTGCTGAGTGCTCACAGCTGCCACTGAAGCCAACAGGAGCTGGGCTTTGACGGTAAAATGTTGTGACGGTGCTGCCCGTGGGAGCCAGCTGAAGTCACTCAATTAGGGTGAACTGCAAACAAAACGGGGCAGACAAACCCCAAACGCTGGTGGATATTCCAATTCTTAGATTTACCAAGCCAGCACAAAACAACTTCTATATTACCTCACTGGTTACTCAGAAGTTCAAACTACACAGTTCCCTTAAAGTGCCCAGCCTCAGGCCTCCATCCAGACACACGTCAGATATGATGATGATTACCGAAAATCTTATCTCATCATATAAAAGAAAAGGTTCTTCCGATCCCAAAGGATCAGCCACATACCCAGGTCCAATTATAACTTAGATCTTGCCCAAAATACACACTATAGTTAATTTTCATTAACTAAACTAAAATTTATTAAAAAAGAAAAGAGAGAGAGAGTTGGTTAAAAGATTAATATACATACAGACTTGAATTCAACTCTTGAGGTTCAGATACATACCAGAGATGAGCTTGTAGTTGCCAAAAGTCCTTTTAGAAATAGTGGATGTCCATGCTCAGGGTGACTTCAGTCAGTGACTGGGGATCTCAATCCTTATGGCTTAAGGTTTCCCCCTCTTGAAACCCAAAGCAGATCTGAGATGAAGCAGGATCATGTCCCAGGGTTCTTATACATTTCCAGCAGCCTTTTGGCCTGAGAAAACAATAGGCTTAACTCTCCTTCTCCCAAACATCCTGGCAATTAGCACAGGGTAATTTATTCATTAAACAGTTCAGATACAGTTTACCACAACCTTCAAAGAGACATATAGACAATAATACTATTTCACTCAAGTATCTTCCTAAATGTTAATATTCCTTTTTTGATCTTTGAATCAAAGCTACAGGAATAGACAAGACTTGTTTGCTTACATCACAAGACCTGAGCAAACACCTACCCTTCTACCTCTAACAATGCAGACTTGCATTTCAAAGCTCTATTCATTTACATATCTTCCTAACCAGTTTCTAAAGTTCGGCCATGGGTCAGGTCAGTCTGTGAGTTAATTAACTCTTTCTGGCCCTGTCATCTTTCAATGAGATATTATATCACACTCATAACATCACAAACGTGCTATATAAATACTATGTTATCTGTGGGGCTGGCCAAACTCTGACATATCTGTACTGAGCATGTGCTAAGGGAGATATTTCAAAGGTTCTTAGCTTGGGCAAAGTTGCATGGATTTTCACGGGCACGGCAAAAGGCGCATCCCTGAGGCGCAGGTCACCCCACTGCCAATTTCAAGTCTCTGCCCCAAAGCACGAGTGGGGGACGTTAGACCATCATCAGTGATCAGACGGGGCTGCGGGGGGAGGGCACCCCAGCAGTGTACACTACAACACTGGATTCATCTCAGGAATATTTTCTATCCCATCCTAACACTTCTGGTTTGTTTCTGGCTGCCCAGCATGGGGGGTTGTGCCAGAGGGGTGACCCGGCTGAGCGGGTACAGGGGCACAGGCCCCCATGCAGCTCAGCGCCCTGAGTTTGTTGAGAGGGCAGCGCAGTGAGCAAATGCTTCTGTTTCTTGGCAGGGCGGCTCCGCAGGGAAGGGGACGGCCCTGAAGAACAATTCGGATGCGGATCTGGTCCTTTTCCTCAGCTGCTTCTCCAGCTACCGGGACCTGATGGAGAACCGTGCGGCTGTGCTTGACACCGTCAAGCAGAAGCTGAACCGGTGCCAACAGACCATCGCCTTCAGCGTTGACGTGGAGGTTTTCCAGCCAAAGAAGAAGGGCACCTGCCCGCGCTCGCTCTCCATCACCATCCAGTCGAAGAAGCGGTGGGAATCCATCGAGGTGGACGTGCTCCCGGCCTACGATGCCTTAGGTAGGGACTGTATCCCTGCCCCTCAGCTCGGCCTCATGGGCCCCAGGGCTTATCCTGAGAGAGCTCATGGGAATGAGGGTGCAGACTATATATGGGACACAGCAATAGCCCAAGGCCCATTGGGACTGGACTCCCCTCAGATCTGTGTGTGGTGACCCTCCCTCCACTCTCTCCCCCAGGACAGGTGACTCCTGGTAGCAAACCTTCCCCCCAGGTCTATGAGGATTTGATTCAGGCCGGAGCTGGGCCCGGTGAGTTCTGCACCTCCTTCACCGAGCTGCAGAGGGACTTCGTTAAGCGTCGCCCGGCCAAGCTCAAGAACCTGCTGCGGCTGGTCAAGCACTGGTACAAAGAGGTGAGGTGTCCTGCCCTACCCCAGTCAGTGATACCCCCTTTGCTCCTTCTCACGCTCCGCCAGCCCTAGGGGTTATCACTGTATGTTAATGCGGGTTCAGCTGAGGAGCTCTCCCGGCTGACAAAAGAACCTCCCACACCTTAAAAACCCCTCTGGAATAAAGCTACTGAAGGTGATCACAGGAGCCCCTCCACCTGCCAGCGCTACTCAAGTCATTCCAGAAGATCACTTTGCGTCCCAGCATTTTGCTTGCCGGAGGTGGTGGTCATCTCGGCTTAAGCTGGCCTTTCCTAGCTCGCTGCTCTCCTGGATGCTCTTGGGGTGGGCTGCGGCTGCTGGTTCCATCACCCCATCAAAGGGCCCTGGGTGTCACTGGAGACAGACGGGACACTGGACTAGATGGATCTTGGCTCTGATCCAGTCCGGCGAGTTTGCTGAGTCCCTCTCTAGCAGTCCCAGAATATCTGTCCAGATCACTGGTCCCCAAACTGTGGGGCACACCCCCTAGGGGCGCACAGAGGAACATTCAGGGGCGACACCACAGGGCCTGGGCCAGCCTCCACAGAGGGCAGGGAAGGAGCGCCACCCAGCCCTGCTCTGCTCTGCCCCCAGCTCCAGCTCTGCCCTCAACCCCGTGGCTCCGCTCCTGGCTGCAGCCCCAGCCACAGCTCCGGCCCTGGCCTTGGTCCCTGGCTCCCAGTTCCCAGTTCCCGCATGGGTGCGGACAGATTACATTATGGGTAAGGGGGGCGCGACATGAAAAGTTTGGGGACCACTGGTTTAGATGCCTTAGGTCACTTTGAGGCAAGCGCTCACGAGATCTTCTGATCATGGACTGGACCAGAGGTTAAACAACAGAATCATTGGCCATCTTGAACAGAGTCTGACTGGGAAACAGAATCCATTAAAAATAATTAAAAAACAAAACAATAATTTATATATAGATAGAGAGATATAAATTCCTCATTGGAACTAAATTGTGTAGCTTCATAACAAACAAACACTCAAACATCCAATCTCGCATGTGTCCTCCTCTAATCTCAGGGCAAGCAACTGAACAAAGAGCAAATTTCAGATAATGATTTAACGACCTATTTGCTGCTCACTTGAGTGGAAATTACACTAGCCTGTCCAATGACACTTTACAGGGTCGGGAGAGAAGGATTTTCTTTATCCTAATAAACACCTGAAATGAGTCAGTGCCTGATGCCACAGCCTGTGGGGACTTCACAGCAGCAGTGGAAATAAAATGTGGAGCCTTCCGTTTCAGAAGCACGGACCTCTGCCACCTGAGCTAAAGGAGAATCCCCACTAGATGTTAGCAATATAGGGTCTTGACACACAACTGAGCAGGTCTGATTACACACACACACACACACACACACACACACACACACACTCTCTCTCTCTCTCTCTGTCTCCAGCTGGTACATTACACCCCGGCTCACCTTGTCTGGCCACTGCTAAGTAGTTGAGGGTTGTGGTGAGCACAGGACATGGGCAGGGGAGAGGTCAGGGGAGGGCACCCACCTGCCCAGGCAGCAAGAGGGATTTGAGGCCCCTGTACTCCCACCCCATCCCATGTCTCAGGCCGGCTTCCCCCCATCTCCTTAACAGATTTCCAAGACAACGTCGGGCTTGCCCCCCAAGTATGCCCTGGAGCTCCTGACCATCTACGCCTGGGAGACCGGCACCAAAGGGGCGGAGAACTTCAGCACATCTGAGGGGTTCCGCACGGTGATGGAGCTGCTGTGCCGGTACCAAGAGCTCTGCGTCTACTGGACCGAGTTCTACGATTTCCAGTCCTCCGTGATAGGGACCCATGTCAAACGGCTGCTGCGGGAACCGTGGTGAGACCCTGCATCTGCTCCTCTCATCTCTGCTCGGCTCACTCACGTCTGGCTGCAGCTCGGCCTTCCTTCTTGCGTGGGCGGGAGGCTCTGTCATACCCGGGGACACGCGAGCAGAGAACTGGCATCTCTGCTCAGCGTCTCTCAGCCCCGCCACCCCCGAGACCGCTGCAGTTACACTCAGCACCAGCCAAGCAAGATGGCCGGCCCAGCACGCCCTGCACCATGTGCAGCCAGGCAGCCTCTGGGGGCGTACGCCCAAGGGGAGCCCCGGCCCCATGGAACTCACTGGCCAAACCCCATTAACTGAAGGGAGCAGGATTCCACCCGGCAGCACCCGTATGAGCGTGAAAGGGTGGGGGGCTCACAGCCTGGCACAGGTCTGTCCCCCACTCCGCCACCATTACCCTGTGCCTCAGTTTCCCCATGGGCATGATGGGGATGATGACACTGACGGGGTGAGGGCTCGTGAATGATTGCATGTGGTACCCGGCAATACCCCTGGGCCGGCACTAGAGATGGGTGCAATAGTATCGCAGGGACTAGGGCAGCAGCTGTCTCCAGCCCCTCAGCTGCCTGGACACTGGCTCTTCCAGGGTGGGTGACCCCGGACCATACTCAACCTCCACCATTGCCCCATCCCCGAGCCCCTGGGACTCTGGCTCTGGTCGGCCAAGCCTGAGACTCCCTCCTCCAGCTCCCCTCTGCGGTGCCTGAGCCGGGGCAGGCAATGTGGGCAGCAGGCAGCTGAGATGTGTCAGCAGCCTGGACGCAGAGCAGGGCCCGGCTCATGGAGGAGAGGGAGCGGGCTGGGGCACACAGCAGAGCCTCTTGCCACGTGGGCAGGTGGCTCAACCCAGGAGACATAGACAGAGAGAATCCATTGTGTGTTCACAGCCCCGTGATCCTGGATCCAGCCGACCCGACGGGAACCTTGGGGCAGGGAAAGAGCTGGGCCCTGCTGGCGAGAGAAGCCGCCGTGTGCCGGAACCAGCTGTGCTGCAGGAACGGCCTCGCCCCCATCCGCTGCTGGGATGTGCAGGTACCGACGCCTCGCAGGGCCTCTTCCCACCCCCGCCTGTGATGAGCTCTTCCCTGTTCAGAGCCTCCCAAGCATGGAGTAGCCGGGAGGTCCCCCCATAGCCCCTGCTCCTGCCCCACTCCCCACAGCGCCCCCTGCTGGGAGAAGCTGGGGCTAAAATTGCTGCCCCTGCCCACAGCCAGCACTCCTGCCCTCTCCCCACAGCACCCCTGCTAGGAGAGGCTGGGACTGAAATAGCTGGGAGATCCCTCTCCCCCCACAGCCAGCGCGCCTGCCCAGCTCCCTGCTACAGAATCTGATGGGCCCAGAGCTGCAGGAAACGTTCGTGTTGAGATTCCACTCCCCAGCCGAGGTTCCTATGCCAGGGTGCCGTTAGAGGTTCGCCGCTGCCCCACCTGGGCTGTCCTATCCCCACCCATCCCCATCTCCTTGTCTCTATTCCAGCCAGCCAGACCCATGCAGGTGATGGTGAAGCAGCTCTCAGGGGTCAGCCTGGCCCTGCGGCTGAGCCCATACACTACCATATGGGAGATTAAGGAGGAGCTCGAGCGTGCATGGGGCATCTCTCCCTACACGCAGCGCCTGGCCCTGCAGGAGCCTGGCCTGGGAAACCAGCTGCTCCTGGACGATCAGACCCTGGCATCACACGGCATCTTCTACGACACCACGGTTCTGATGCTCACGACCGAGCCCCAGGAGATGGAGATCTTCGTGAAGGACCATAACAGCAGAACCATCCCCTATGGCGTCCGCGCCAGTGACACTGTCCTGGGCCTGAAGAAGATGATCGAGGATCGCACGGGTGTCTCCGCCAGCCAACAGCGCCTGACGTTCAACAGCAAAGAGCTGCAAGACGACTACACGCTCTCCCATTACAGGATCCGGAGCAAGAGCACGGTCTACCTGCTTTTGCGCCTCAGGGGTGGGTAAGATGCTCACTGAGTCACTGGGACCTGCATCCCAGCAGAGAGAGCATCACAGTGGACTATGTTTCCCAAGATTCTTTGCATGATAATTCAGGGCTTTGCTAACGCCTCCCACGTTCCAGAATCAGCACCGCGTCCTTCTGTAGTGCCAGCCCATCCCCACACCTCCTGCTGCAGCTCCTGGGAGCTCTTTCCCGCCGCTCCATGGCCCGTTTCGGGAATGTACTGCCCCCAGTGCAGAGTTGGGTGCTGGGCACTCACCAGACATTGTTCATTAATCCCATTGTTGTAGTCCCCTTCCTCCTCCCTGTCCCGACTCCACTGCTGTGTGTCACCATCTCTGTTATTATGTCGTGCCAAATCCCGACCGATGTGTGCTGCTTGGAATCCGAAATAAACAGCTTCCGCTAATCCCAGCTCCTGAGTGTTGTGTCCATGGGATGTGGGTCCCACCTGCCCTGTGCATACAGCCGGGGGTCATGGATTCAGAGATTCATTTACTGAGATCATCTAGTCTGACCACCTGTGTCACACAGGCCGGAGACCTGCCCCACATTAATTCTTCCAGCAGATCCAGCAGCAGTTCTGTAACTGGGTCGTGGCCCCCTCATCCGACCCGCCTACAGCAAACTTGGCTGAGTTGTCTCCCCCAGCAGCTTTGTTCAACGCACACAGCCCCACCGGCTGCCTCAGCGGGGCAGTGCATTGTGCATCCCATAGTGCCTCAGTGGAGACAGCATACCTGGCAGATGGGGACACACAGCGGCACCAGCAGCATGTGGGCCAGTGCACGCTGGGATATCTGTGGCACAGGGAGCTGGGAGTGTGTCATGGACACGGTTATGGGGGCAGGATCGGCTCCAGGGTTTTTGCCGCCCCAAGCGGCGGAAAAAAAAAAAGAAGCCGCGATCGCGATCGGTGGCAGCTCCACCGCGCCGCTTTCTTCTTCGTCGGCAATTTGGCGGCAGGTCCTTCCCTCCGAGAGGGACAGGGACCCTCCACCGAATTGCCGCCGAAGAGCCCGACGTGCCGCCCCTTCCCCTTGGCCGCCCCAAGCACCTGCTTGCTCAGCTGGTGACTGGAGCCGGCCCTGTATGCATGAGGCTCATTTACACGCCTGGCTGAGCTATAATCAACCTGCTGGCTTGTTACCAAGTGCCCACCTCCAGGCTGAGCTGGAAAGGCACAATCCGGGAGGAGTAATGTCCTGTATCGAGCCAGGAGGGGGCGCTGTATGGAGGGCAGGGAGTGTGGCACTGGGCTCAGTGAGGGAACCAGAGGGCTGGAGGGTGGAGACTGTGCCCAAGATAAGAGAGACTCTGGCCCAGCCCAGTGCAGCCGGCTCGGAGGTCTGAAAGAGGGATTTGCACACCATGTTTCAGCTCAGCCGGCCCGTGGGACAGCCAAGGCCACGGGATGCCCAGACGATGTGGGATGGGACAGGCCATTGCTTATAGGCCCAGGACAGCCTTCGCAAGTTGAGCACAGCGGGGGGGGGGGGGGGGCGGCATTCCCTTTGGTGAAAAAGCCCATCAGCTGTTGGGGCAGTGACTGGTCGCCTCCTAGGCTGTCTTAGAGCCGGATCCCAAAATGCCACCCTCTCGGCTTGAGGCTGGCGACAGAGGCTGCCTGTGAGGGGGAGAGCCCAGCAGGGCCCCATTGAGATTCCAGGCCTAAGGCCAATGGGGATAGGCTGGGAGAACCACCTGGGGTGTGGGTCTCGGGAGCCACGGGGCAGGGTACCAAGCTACTGCCCCCAGAGGCTGGGGTAGGAACAGCTGGGTTGATATTTTAGCAGCACGCTGAGAGCTCACCAAAGACCCTTGTTCTGCTGCCAGGCCTCTGCCACTTACTGTGTGGGTGACTGGGCCCCACCGCAGGCTCCAGCCGGCAGTGCCCAGGGCTGCAGCACCTACCTCTGAGAACATGGGCACGCAGCGCTCCCAGGGATATCCTGCCACAGGGAGGTGCCATGTCCCCTTCCCTCAGCCTCAGTTTCCCCATCTGTACCTTGGGGATAGTGATGCCGCCCTACCTTTGTACAGCACCTGGAGATCAATGGCTGGAGACGGGTACATCAGACCCAAGTCTATTTATTATACCTCCGGCGCTCCTGCTGCCCTAATGGTGCCTCTCATGCCTGCCACATCTCCCTGCCATCCCCACATCTACGGGTCACCCCAGCACCACATTGCCCCCAAGGTTCCCCTCACAGCCACCCCACTCCATCCTGCCCCACCCTCAGTCCCATGGGGCCCGTCACAGATGCTCCATCTCCCCACCCTCCCAATGCCCCTCATGCCCCACCTGTCTCTCCCTAGCTCCAGGAGACCCCTTACGACTGTCCCGTGTCTGCCCCCATCTTCCCTCCCAGCTACTCCATCTCCCTCCCTCCATCCCATCACAGCCTCCTGTCTGCTTCCTTTCTTCCTCTACCCCCCCCCAGCCCCATGTTCCCACCAGCATGGTCTGCTCCCGGTGCCCTCCACCACCCCCTGCCTAGCCCCACCTCTCTCTGGGTAATAACCCTGTGGGAGTAGGGCACAGTGATAGAGTCACCCAGTGGCCAGCTGGGTGAAGCCCCATGCCAGGCAGGGCCCTGTGATGGCACAGTGACCCTGGGACTGTATCTTTTCCTCTTCCAAGCTCATCTCTCACCCAGGCAGGGTGCTGCTGGCCCCCATGGGAGCAAAGATGAAATCAAGCCCTCCATGACAGCGTGATCTGGGGTGGGGGAAACAGGCGACGCGCTTTGGGAGGCAGGGTATTGCTGAGCACTGCTCCAAAATAACCTCCGAGAGCAGATCTTTCAGGCAAACGGCCAATCTGGATTTTAAAATTGCCAGTGATGGAGAACTCCCCACGCCCCTGGGTTAATTCCAATGATTAATTACTTTCACTGTCAAAAGCCTACGCCTTACTTCCTGGCTGAATTTGTCCAGCTTCAACTTCCCCATTGTGCCGCTTCACCTAAGTCGTTAAACCACGTAGAGGACCTCACTAAACTAAGAAGGCAAAAGCACCATAAAACCAAATGCCCTTTGGCAGACCAAGCGATGATGTCTCTGGACTGCTTTCAGAAAACTGCTTTTCACGTTGATTGTGAGATGCAGGAGACCTTAGCTGCTCCTGAGCCCCAACACATTGGGCAGTCCAGTTCCTCCACTGGTTGCAGTTGCTCACTAGTTGTGGTGCTTCTTCACAGGTGATGCCAGTGCATTCAGCATGGTCATCCTCTTCTGCCATGTCTTCCTCACGTTCTCTTCCTCTCTGGGGCAGCCAATTACAGGCTTGCTTAGCAGGTCTCCCATCTGCCATACAGTGTCTAGATCCCAACTGCACAAGCCTTTTTTGTTGATATTTTCTAACCTGTCCTGCTCTGCAGCTCCCTTCCTCTCACGCTGGTTGTTTTGTTTTTCCACAAAATGTGTATTTTCAATGCACCATTTGGATCATTCGGGCACTGCAAGGTCAGCACTAGCACTTAGTCCATATGCAATGTAATGATTTCCATGGGCTGTTGGAACAGGTATGGGGGAACATGGGGCTACTTCTAGAGGCAGGAGCAAGTGAACCTAGAAGTGGTATCAACCCAGCAGCTCAGGAAAGGTGGAGAAGCAGCAGATCACTAGTGATGGGCTTATAATTATTTTGAGCTTTGGTGGCATTGGCTGGCATGAATTGCTGGAGATCCCTGACTGGAAAAAGAGGCCAGTTGCTCCAGGCCGCTGGGAGTAAACCACCCGTCTGTGCCATGGAGCAGTTTCATTGTCTCGTGCCCGCTGGGTGCGCGAAAGACTGACAACGAAGCATGAATGGCAGGTTGGGGAGCGAGACATCTAGCTGCTCAGTGTTGGGAGCAGCTGTTGAATGAAACCGCACAGGAGTGAGGGCATAGGCGCCGACTCTGAGGGTGCTCTGGGGCTCAAGTGAAAAAAATAGGGGGTGCTCAGCACCCTCTGGGCCTGATTAATCTTTTGCAGGCCCTGGTGCCCAGACTGTGGCCCCGCCCACTGCTCCACCCCAAGGCCCTGCCCCCCACCCGGCCTCTTCTCCCCCAAGCCTCCACATGAGAGGGGGAGGAGGCGGAGAGGAGCACCCACCAACAAAACAAAAGTCAGCGCATGTGAGTGAGGGGGTTGGTGTGTGGATGGGGGTGTGGTGCTGGAAACACTCCAGCTGTTCCCAGCCCAGATAGAGATAAGGGGCGGAGGAGGAGGAAGGGGGAGATAGTGAGGATGTGGCAGATGAAGGATGGATGTAGGGGCCATGGGGAACATTCATACACTCCTATCCATGCCCCCATTGATGCCCACACAAAGGGTTAATTATATGGGGAAAATATCTCTGTCCAGCCTGCTGCCCCCCCAACACTTAGCAGAGACGATGAGCACCCAGCGGCAGATGCAATGCCAGGATCAGCCAGCAGAGGGAAGCAAAGGGCAGCATCCCTCCTGTGCCCGACTGTGCACACAGCAGCACGGGCTGCAGCAAC